TAATAATAATAATAATAATAATAATAATAATAATAATAATAATAATAGAAAAATAATATGGTATTAAAATCTCATCAAACAATTGTGAGAAGAGTTGCATTAGTGAATGTACCAATATTAATTTTAATATGTAACTATTGATAAACATAGCCCACATAAAAAAGGCTCTTGGTGTCCTCCATAATTTTTAAAGTAAGAAGGAGTCTTGAGAGAGAGAAAGTTTAAGAAATGCTGCACTATAGCATGAGGTTTCGAGATTTATTTTATATTCCCTGCTACTGTCAAGTCATGATATAGATTGCTTTACAAATAGTTTAAATACATGCATACATACATTTTCAGGACTAGAACTGAAGGCTGAGATAATATTATACACTGACTTTTTACTGCTGTCCTTTATTTCCTGTCACTGATGAGAAAAGGGGAAAGGAAAAGGATATGCAAATCTGAATATTTTCCATACAGAACATTTCCATCATTGAGGGAAGGGACAAATGTTAATTATTTCATAACCTTCTTCATGGAAATTTCAGACAAGGAATATAAGACTTAAAGACTGAGAATACCAAATGCAACCCTACTGCATATTCAAATTATTCACTGAACCATCTTCAGGGCCATAAGCCCTGTGTTAAAAAGAGAAAAAGCAAGACACCCCCCAAATAAACCACCTATGCTACTATTAAGTTACTACAGACTTTGGAATTCTGTACATTTTGGGGGTCTGAAACTCAAAGAATTTCCCATCAGTATTTAAAATGAGATACTGAATATTGAAAAGAGCCAGTATGGTCTAGCAGTTAAGGCACCAGGCTAGAAAACAAGAGTTCTGCCTTAGCCATGAAAGCCAGCTGGATCACCTTGGACCCATCATTCTCTCTCATCCCGCCACTCACAAGGTTGTTCATTTGTGGGGAAAATACAAGGAGGAAAGTGTGTTGGCTATGTCTATTGCTTTGAATTATTTGTACAAAGGCTAGATACAAATAAATAAAATAAATAAATAAAATATGGTTCAAGAAATTCTGGAAGTTGCAATTCCAATATAAATGAAGAGATCCAAGTTGGGGAAAGCTGAGTTAGCACATCTCCTTTTTCCTTTAAATTAGCTGCAGAGAATGGAATGTGTATCAGTTCAAAGTGGAATTACCTCTGCTTTAAAGGAAAAAGAAATACTGACATGAATGTTGGGCATCTCCTGAATAGTTGCTACTATTCATTATAGCCCATTATGAAACTGCATTCTAGCTGTTCAGGTAATATCGATTTTCTTCTTTGCGATCTACAATAAGAGTCAGTATGTAACATGAAATTGCTGCATAAGGAGTACCATAAATTATGCCTTCCCCCAACAGCTGCTACGGCATGAGAAAATTGCCCACAATTTATGATAAACCAATGGATATAAATAGTTGCAGTTTAAAATTATTTAAAATAAAGTCTATGGGGCTCCTACTTTCTTTCTTTATCTAACAGTGTTGTTTTTAGAAGAAGCAGCCTTCTTTCTTTCATTGGTTCTGAACACATCTTTACTTGGTGAAGGGCATCATGCAGTGACAAGAAAGCCAGTAACTGAATTAGTTTTATTTTTAATGTGATAGGCATTATAACACAATGCTGCCACCTTGTGGGAGGTCAGTACTGAGATGGTTGATGGAAAATGGAGCATATAGTAATTTTGCTTTTTTTAAATGCATTTATAAAGTACACATATAAGTATTTATACTTACACAATTTGTTTCTATCAAATGAAATCTAAAGATTTTGACTACTAGAAATATAAGACTCAATACTTGAAAATCTGACTAATGCTACAGGTAGAACATATGATTATCACATTTTATTATACAATTATACAACTGCTTCTCAGCAGGAAAACTCCAATAACTATATTTAAGAAATATTTTATTATAAACAATTTCTCTTCTTTTCGCTTTATTTTTTATTAATTATCAGCTGAATATAGGAGTTAACATCTTATTCATTGTTGCAACAAAACTGAATTGTGCCACATATCAGGGTACTTTGAAAAATTGATACTTCAGTTTAATGTATATTTTTCAACAAATTTAAAACATGTTTTTAATAAAATATATCAGTGTCTAATCAAAGCTAAAAGTAAGCAGAAGGATGAAACTTAATATAGAAGCTGGATTCTGTTTTTCATTTGCCTTTCTTAATTATGCTACAGAATTCAAATACAATTTCATGGGAAGATCTGATTAATTTTAAAGACATTTGGAGGGGTTGTGGTGGTGGTAAGAGATCTTACATGTTCCTGCTATGGTTGATAGTTCCATCCATTCCATCCAACTGTTGCTGATGTAATGACAAACATTCTTTACCAATAAACTATTTTTTAAATCCCAATAATTGAAAATTAAGCTTAGAAATGACATAAAAGCATGACATACATTAAGTCATCAACTATTGCTCTGATCTTGTCTAACTAGGCTAGCGGCTTTTCAACAGGGAAGGGAAAGGGGAGTCGAAAATTGGGGTAAGGTCTCTGTTCGCAAAAGGACCCGAAATTGCAAAACGAATGTATGTTTTGATTTAAAAAGGGGGGGGGGGTATAGAAATATCTCCCAAAACCCAGAGCTGTTCAGTCCCAACAAAGAAGCCACTGGCTCTCCAACACTCGCCTCTTTGCTTTCTTTCTATTCCGGTCGCTTTGGGCTTCCATAGCAAAGGCGTAACCGCCCACGTCTCCTGTCGCTATGGTTACACTTCCTGCAACAGTGAGGCTCGCTCCTCTGAAGTCTTGCGTTCTCATTCAGGTTGGTGATTAGCGGCGTCAGAAACAAGTAAAGATCAAGGGTTTCTGAATAACGAGAATAGGGATTATTCTAATCTTCAAATTAAAAACAAGTCATGGAACATTTTTTTAAGCGTCGTGATGAAACGGGGCAGTCTTTACCCGAAAACAGAATTCAAAACTACGACTCCCAGCATTCAACAGGATACTTTCAAATAAGCTTTTAAGGGCTGCTTTTCAAAGGCACCATGGAACTGGTAGTCCTCACGCACTTAGAAGAAAGCGGAGCTCTATGGGCAGGGTAGGCACAAGTTAACTGAAAATCTGAGATAAAGCTAAGATAGATGATTGCCAATGTACTAGTTACCGTGAGAAAGAATAATTGCTTTCTGGTCGTTCATATTTAACTGAATTGTGCACATGCCACCTCAAATCTGGATAGCCTGAAATATGATAAATTGATGTTTCTTTAAGGTAAACTTGAACACTTCTATTTTTTAATAGATGGGAGTTGCAACTCCATTTGCACCACACAGAGACATAAACACCCACAATATGAGAGGAGATGAACTAATGAGCATTTTACAGGTTATCCAATTAATGTCTGGATAAATAAATATTCACATAAGAACGATTATCTCAACTTTAAGATTTTGCCCATTTTAATTATTTTTCCTACCACTAAATTCACTATTTTTGAGACATGTTCTTTTTATTTTATTATGTTTTTGCAATTAAAGGCTTAAAGATAACAGTAAATAGAAACTTGAATAATTTGTATGTATAGATGTTGATAGATGCATACATAGATATTTGTTTACTTATATGTATTTTTTGTTTTTACAATAGAAAGGATGGAAGAAGTGTATGATGATATAGGAATTGAAGAAGAAATAGAACTTGAGTTGAGGAAAACTAACTATTCTTCATCTGAAGCAGATGATTGTGATACTGATTTATCAGCTGAAAGTTCAAGTGATAGTGAAACAGTAAGTATTCCAGAAGAATAGGAGCAATAAAAATATTTTTATAAAATCATCTGTCATTTTCTATATGTGAATATCATTCTCAGACTGATTGATAAAATGAAAGTTTACAGAGGATTTTGTGTCTGTATATTGAAACATGTACAACAAGCTATGATGACACCTAAATCAGTGTTTCCCAAACTTTTTCAGTCTACCACCCCTTGGTGCTACAAACTCATCCTCGGTGCCCCCCACCCAGGGGGGGTATTCAAATTTCTGTGGGCATGGTATAATTTGAAGGTGTGGCTTGCTGGTCATGGGACTGGGTGGGCGTGGCTTGCTGGCTTGGCATGACTTGGTGGTCACATGACCGGGTAGGTGTGGTTTGGTGGTCATGTGACTAGGTGGGCATGGCCAGATGCCTGGCAAACCAAATACAATTGATCCTCACTTAATGGCCGGTTGTTTAGCAAGTTTTCTAATTTATGACTGGCCTCCCCACAGCTACTTGACCTGTTTTTGGAGTTTTGACAGCCATGCACACACATACACACACACTCTCTTCTAACCCTGCTGGAGCAGGCCATTGGACTAGGATCGTCAAAGCATCTCTGATAGATTCTTGTAGTGAATAAAATCTAATCAGAGATGCTTTGCTGATTCTTGTTGATTTGTTTTATTTGTATTTCTTTATGTTGCTGAATTGCATTGACATGTGTATCCCTTATTTTGCACAACCCAGAAGCTTTTGTGATTCTTTGCAGCAACAATTACTGACGGTTCCAGACTGATGAGCTGTATTCAACTATTGGTCTAGCAAATGTTTTGTATGTTCTAGTTAGTAGTGTGATATTACCAGAGAAAAAGCTATGTAAGATTAGGCTAACAACTCTTAATGCCTTTTTGGCTATGTAGTTACAGTGGGCTCTAGCACTTAGATCATTAGAGATGAGTACTCCAAGATCCTTGACACAATTTGGATCATCAACAAGGTCTTGACTATTCACTTGTATTTTATTTTCTGATTTTTTTTTGCCAATATGTAAGACAGAGCATTTATTTGTTGAGATTTGAACTTGCCATTTGTTTGACCATTCTGATACATAGTCGAGGTCTTTTTGAAGGGTAGCAGTATTGTCTATGGTGTTGAATAGCTTTACATCATCAGCGAAGAGAACGCAGTTGCTCTTAATATGATCACAGAGGTCATTTATGTAGAGTATGAAGAGAGTTGGTCCTAGAACACTGCCTTGGGGGACACCACTGTTGACAGGTACAGAATTTGATAGGACGCTCCCAATTTTGACCATTTGTTGTCTGTTTAACAGGAATGCTTCTATCCAGTTATGCAGGTGTCCAGAGATACCATAAGATTTTAGTTTTAGGAGTAGTTTGTCGTGTACCACTGAATCAAAGGCTTTACCGAAGTCTATGTAGATTGCGTCTATTGCTTTGTCCTGATCAAGTTGTGTAGTCCCTATGTTTTTGCAGTGTAAGAGTTGCAGATTACAGGATAGTTTTTTTCTGAAACCAAATTGTTTATTAGAGAGTAGGTTGTTTGTCTCTAAGTGGAGGATAATGGATTGATTAATAATTGATTCCATGACTTTACAGGTGACGCAGCATAAGGAGATTGGTCTGTAATTTTCAACTAGGCTGGGGGTCTCCCTTTTAGAAGATGGGGATGACCCTGGCTAGTGACCATAGGTTTGGCAAGGAGCTGGTCCTGAAGTGCAGTAGCAAGAGCAGTCTTTGGGGGTCCTAGAATGGCCCTTGGGTATTGCACCGCTGCTCCACAAACTGCACTGGTTACAAGTCTGCTTCCAGGTACAGTTCAAGGTATTGGTTAAAGTCCTTAATGGCATATATTCAGGCTATTTGATAAACTGACTTGTCCCACTAGGACAAGCCTACTGCATTTGTGCCAGCAGAGAGGGCCCACTTCGGATCCCATCGGTCAAAGAACTCTGACTATTTGGATCCAGAAGAATAGCCTTCTCTGCCATGGTACCTACCCTTTGGAACATCCTACTCTCCAAGGTGAGATCTGCCTCCAATTTCCTAGCCTTCCGTAAGAGCCTGAATTCCTGGTTCTGCCAGTTGGCCTGGGGATCCAAAGGGGGAATACCAGACCAGAGGTGGCTACTGGATTGATAACAACCCTTGCTCCCTGTTTCCCCACCTATCCGTTTTTTATTCTCATATCACTGTATCGTTGTTTTCTTTTTCATTATTTATTCTATTGTTCCATTAGTTTACTCCTGTTATGCTTATACTTCTTTTCATTTCTCTGTTTTTATTGTTGTAAGCCTCTTAGAGTAGCCCCACGGTGAGATATTTGACAAATAAATTTAATAAATAAATATATTTATGCATGTTTCTCTTTTGGCAATGGTAAAGACCATTTTAAATCTTATTTAAATTTATTGTTTGTTTCCCTATGGAAAAGGAGAATATCCTTGTGTTTCTTTTAAACTCAGAGTAGGTTATCTTTTTCAAATAGAGAGAATCACAGTGATGTCTGGGGAGCTATTTAGAATCTGCAGCAATTGGGTGGCAGGGTATGTGAGAATATTCTCACACTTCTTTCCTGTCTCATTTTCTTTCCCAGAAGAATCTAATTCTCCTTTCAGAAATATGATTGATATTCTGCATGCAGAGATGACAAGTAGACTTGCATTCCATCAGCCCCAAAGAGGTGAAAGGTAGAGCTGTGGAATATAAATTGATAAGACATTGATAGGAATTCCTTGGACATCGTAATGGGCTCTACAGAGGCCTTCCACATGCTTGGGCTATCTGCATACGAATTAAAGACAGAATTCTGAGTCAATATACATAGATCATATATTTGGGACTTTATAGATGATACGGTTGACTATGCTTTTGCCTAAAAGTGCACTATTAAAAAATTTAGTTGTATTCTCTTCATTAATTTATTTTATCTTTTTAAAAAAGTAAGTCATTTATCAGCATAAATTCAACTTGTCCCCTTTCTCTTTCTAAAATTACCATTCTATCTAACAGGGTTACTAAATGTTGGCTGCAAAAGTTCTAGTTTTATCTTGCATATGTAGGGACAGGTTGAAGACAAATTTAACTTAAAAATAATTAATAGTAGTAACTGTCAATTTTATATAATGTAAAACCTACATCTAGATTCCAGAAGAATTACCAGAATCTGTTCTCCAGTATTTAGATTTTGTGAGAAGCAGAAGTCAAAATGCAGAAAAGCTTCTGTTGCAAGATTTGGAAAATGTTGAATTCTCAAGTAAGTAGTGATTTAGCAAAGTGTTTTTTCAAATGCATATGGCATATATTCTGTAAAAGTTCTTCAAGTAATACTACTTTGTATCTACATTCAACTATTGTAATATACGTTTCTACAAATAATAGACCATTATTTTTATTGTGAAGCAGAATATTATGAGGAAAAATAATAGATAATAATTTCTGTTGAGCTGTCTAGTGATCACATGTTAGGGCATACCTATTTTCTCAATAACTGGGTTCTAGAGAGAAAACTGCTGGTGAGTGTTTGAGAACAGTGAGGAAAAATCATATTTAACCAATTTGTCCTAATAGCCAGTTTGGTTTAGTGATTAAGGCACCAGGCTAAAACCAGGAGTCTGTGAGTTTTAGTCTCACTTTAGGCATGAAAGCCCACTGGATGACTTTGGGGTAGTCACTTTCTCTTAGTCCACAACATCAGACTTGGGCAACAAGTCAGTCAGTCAATTTCTATCACAACCAATGGATCAACACTCAATTTATTTGGGAGAAGCAAACCTGGCACTTGCACAAAAATGCTAGGGAAAAAAGGTCTTATTGAAGTAGAACACTGAAAATATTTTAGTGCTTCTGATTTTTTAAATTGAACTTAACCTTAAATTTTCTACTTCTTAATATCTCTTTTCTGCAGTATTTGTATTATTTTTAAATGTGTTTTACAGAAGAGAAACTGATATAGTATGAAATATTTGTAATCTTTGACTTGATGTGAGTAGAAAGATTAATAATTTTAGATAGACTGACTATTACAGCAAAATAGGGAGAATAGGGTTGTGTCCTCTCATTTTTTGTTTATTAGATGATGAAAGTCCTGGAGATTTTTGGCAATCCTGCAGTTTGAAGTGATGCTTTTGATTGTCTGTATTTTGGCAAGTTCATGATTAATCAAGTGATATAAAATTAGAAATGCAGCTGTTTCAAGACTATTGGGTCAACACCAACACCCTAATCCTAAGCATGTCTACTTGAAAGAAGATGCTAAGTAGATTGCCTGAAACTGTCTGAAGTATTTCATTTTTGTTTAATTTTGTTATCTTTGAGACATAGAATTATGTTCATCAGAAATTCAACTAACTTGCAAGAAATATTTCATCTAAATATTCAGAAATTAAAAGGAGTGTTCTCAAAGTCTGAGTAACACCTTCTTCATTTGCAGGTGATATCTATTATATTGTTCCTAACAACGCTTCGGAATATTTAGCTGAATTAGCTTCCCAATATAATGAAGATCCAGAAGAATTGAAAAAAAGGGTATTGTATCTATCTATCTATCTATCTATCTATCTATCTATCTATCTATCTAT